CTCTCTTGCCACAGTTGTGAAGCAAATTACTGCAGTTATTAAGTGAATCATGCAGTTGTTAAAGCAAATCCAGCTCTCCTCCCTCCTGCATTGACTTTGCTTGTTGGAAGCCAGCTGAGAAGATCACAAATGGTGATCACATGATCTTGGGTAAGACCAACTGTCATAAATACATGCCAGTTGCCAAGCCATTTTTTATTTTTACGTGACCGTGGGATACTGCAACAGTCAGAGGTGTCAAGACCTGAAATAAGTCACTGTGACCTTGAACAATTGCTAAACACAGTTGAGCTCCACATTTCTGTTGCTAAGTGAGACATTAGTTTTCTCCCTTTTACGTTTCTTGTCACCGTTGTTAAGTGAATCATTGCAGTTGATAAGTTAGTAACCTGGTTGTTAAGTGAATCTGACTTCCTCATTGACTTTGCTTGTCAGAAGATTGCAAAAGGTGATCATATGACCGTCATAAATATGAACCCATGTCCAAACATCTGAATTATTTTTTTTTGCAAAGAGTTTTTTTATTTTTTTCCAAACATACAAATTACATCCTTTCGGAACAGAGCTTTGATCCGGTCATCACTTTGTTCAATTTTTAACAAAATTTTTAACAAAATGTTATCTATACTATTTTGCCATAGCGCTTATTTCTAAATCTTATATCACATATTCAACTAATACCATCTTAAAAAAAATTAACACATATTTCCTTAATCAAAACAATTACCCTTCTATTAACCCACCTTAATTCTTAATTCAAATAATAACTCATAATACAACAATTCTTACCCTAAATCCTCACTATTAACAATACAAGTCAAACATATTTATATATCATTATGCTCATTAAATCTTTATTCCATTATTACTTTATCAAATTTAAATCTTATCTTTTTAATTTTAGAAATATAGCAATTTAACATTTAAACATAGTTCTTAGTTCAAATAATGCTTTTTAACACAATTTCCAAATTATCCTAAATTTTATCTATCAAACCATACCATTTATATAACACCAATTAAATAATTTTTGTTTATAAATCATAATCATATATTATTTCAGTTTTCTCTTCTTTTTCACTTAGGTAATAAATGTTCAAATTATCACAATTGTTATACGTATTTAAACAATATCCTAATTATTATAGCTATCAATTTTCTAATTTAACCTTTTCTTTTATCCTTCCTAACCTGTTTGTTAAGTGAATCTGACTTCCTCATTGACTTTGCTTGTCAGAAGATTGCAAAAAGTGATCATATGACCCTGGGACACTGCAACCGTCATAAATATGAACCCATGTCCAAACATCTGAATTTTGATCACATGCCCAGGGGATGCTGCAAAAGTTGTAACTGTGAAAAACAGTAATTAAGTCGCGTTTTTCAGTGCCATTATAACTTTGAATGGTCACTAAATGAACTGTTGTAAATCAAGGACTACCTGTATATGCTAAGTGGCTGGGTAGGTTAACGATTTTGGAATAGAATAGAATTCTTTATTGGCCAAGTGTGATTGGACACACAAGGAATTTGTCTTTGGTGCATATGCTCTCAGTGTACATAAAAAGACAAGATACATTCAACAAGAATCATAGGTACAACACTTAATGGTAGTCATAGGGTACAATAAGCAATCAAATCATACAAGGAAACAATCAATATCAATATAAATTGTAAGGATCAAGCAACAAAGTTACACTCATGCAGTCATAAGTGGGAGGAGATGGGTGATAGAAATGATGAGAAGGTTAATAGTAATGCAGACTTAGTGAATAGTTTGACAGTGTTGAGGGAATTATTTGTTTAGCAGAGTGATGGCGTTCGGGAAAAAACTCTTCTTGTGTCTAGTTGTTTTGGTGTGCAGTGCTCTATAGCATCGTTTTGAGAGTAGGAGTTGAAACAATTTATGTCCAGGATGCGAGGGGTCTGTAAATATTTTCACAACCCTCTTTTTGACTCGTGCAGTATACAGGTCCTCCATGGAAGGCAGGTTGGTAGCAATTGTTTTTACTGCAGTTCTAATTATCCTCTGAAGTCTGTGTCTGTCTTGTTGGGTTGCAGAAGTATTGTTTTAAGTAAAACAATTGGATCCAGTTAAAAATACGATCCTACGATCTGGAACGAGCTCCCCCCGGAGATACGGAGGATCCCGGATCTGCGCACCTTCCGTCGCGCGCTCAAGATTTTCTTATTTCATCAAGCTGGCCTGGCCTAAATCTTTTCCCCTTTTAAATGTAAATTTTAATTTGTTTTTAAATTATTGGGTATTTTAAATTTGTCTCAGCCAAATTATTTAATTTGTTTTTATTCTATTTTAAATTTTTGTATTTATGTGTTTTATTCTGTGGCTGTTCACCACCCTGAGTCCTTCGGGAGTAGGGCGGTATATAAATCCAATTAAAAAAAATGTCTTAAACACGCACAGTAAAACATAATTCACAAATGGCTCCTTTAAGAACAGAGATGGAAAGCATGAAATGAACAAAACTTCATTTGTCTTATTCCACTATGTTTATCTAAACATCTCGCTAGGATGTACAGGAGATGAAAATGCCATACCTTCGAAGGGATGAGGCTGAAAAAGTCTTCATCTGCATGCAAATCTAGTCAAGTGCTCCAAATTCTTCTCTCTCACTATTGTTTAGAAGGCCCTCATTTACATTCTGACTCTCCAAATTGAGGTATTTATATATGGAATGGTGGAATAGGATGGCTTCGTTTCTCATTTCAAAACACAAAGCATTTTTCAGCCCTTAGAATAGCAAAGAAAGGCTGAAATCCATGGAAACCTGAGTTGGCTGTGTTGCATAACATTTTCTTTTCTCCAAAGGATGAAAAGACAACCTACAAAACCTTCCTTCTCACCTAGCTTAGCTCTGAGCTAGAATAGAATAGAATAGAATAGAATAGAATAGAATAGAATAGAATAGAATAGAATTCTTTATTGGCCAAGTGTGATTGGACATACAAGGAATTTGTCTTTGGTGCATATGCTCCCAGTGTACATAAGGAGAATAAAATACATTAATTAAGAATAAAAAGATACAACACTTAGTGATAGTCAAGGTTACTAATAAGCTATCAAATCATACTAGGAAACAAATACAAACAATATAATTGAAAGATACAAGCAACATGGTTATAGTAATAAGTGGGAAGAGATAGATACTAGCAAGGAAGAGAAGACTAATAGTAATACAGTCTTAGTAAATTATTTGACAGTGTTGTGGGAATTAGTTAAGTAGAGCAATGGCATTCAGGAAAAAACTGTCCTTGTGTCTAGTTCTTTTGGTGTGCAGTGCCCTACAGTGTCTTTTTGTGGGTAGAAGTTGAAACAATTTATGTCCAGGATGCGAGGCCCATGATTCTGAAAGAGGTAAGCTTGGATGTGGTGATTCTGTACTGAAAGAGAGCTAAGTAAAGGGGAAAGCATTTGCTAATGGTGCATATCCCCTTACAGGTAGTCCTCGATTTATGAGCCATGGTGGCGCAGTGGTTAGAATGCAGTACTGCAGGCTACTTCTGCTGACTGCCTGCTGCCAGCAGTTCGATTCTCACCGGCTCAAGATTGACTCATCCTTCCATCCTTCCAAGATGGGTACAATGAGGACCCAGATTGCTGTTGGGGGCAATATGCTGACTCTGTAAACTGCTTAGAGGGCTGTAAAGTACTCTGTACCTCTGAAGGTATATAAGTCTAAGTGCTATTGCTATTTGTTTAGTGACAGTTGAAAGATACCACAGCACTGAAAAAAGTAACTTACTATCCGTCTTTGCACTTATGGCTATCACAGCATCCTCATGCTCATGTGATCAAAATTGGGCACTTGGCAATCAGCATGTATTATTTACAATGATTGCAGGGTCCTAGGGTCATCTCATTGCCTTTTGCAATCTTCCCAGCTGCCTTCTGACAAGCTAAGTCAAAGGGGAAGTCGAATTGGCTTAATGACGGTGTGCTTTGCTTAATAACCACAGAAAAAAAGGTCGTAAAATCATTCATGACACTTACTTAGCAGCAGAAATTCTGGTTTCAATTGTTGTTGTAAGTTGAGGACTACCCGCACCCTTTATGTCTTAAGCTGAGAGAAATAAATTACTGAGTGGATATATACAATACAATAAACTGTACACCTAAATTAACAAAATGCCATTTCTGTGTTCTCAAAACATGCTAAATCCAGAACAGAATAACAGAGTTAGAAGGGACCTTGGAGGTCTTCTAGTCCAACCCCCTGCTCAAACAGGGAACCGTTACAACATTGCAGACAAATGATTGCCCAATCTCTTCTTTAAAACCTCCAGTATTGGAGCACCCACAACTTCTGGAGGCAAATCATTCCACTGATTAATTGTTCTGTCAGGAAATTTCTTCTTAGCTCCAGGTTGGTTCTCTCTTTGATTAGTTTCCATCCATTGCATCTTGTTCTGCCTTTAGATGCTTTAGAGAATAGGTTGACCTCTTCTACTTTGTGGCAGCTTCTTATATATTGGAATACTACTATCATGTCACCCCTCCTCATCAGTGGTGAAATTCAAATTTTTTTACTACTAGTCAAGGATGGGTTCTACTTACCTTTACTACCGGTTCACAACAGGATCACGCGCATGCGCAGATCACCTACGATGACATCAGGGGCGGTGGGTGGAGCCTCGCGCCAGTTTTACTACCGGTTCTTGCGAACCGGTAGTTCTGTGGGCGTGGTTTGGTGGGCGTGAGGGGAAGGATACTGCAAAATCTCCATTCCCACCCCACTCCAGGGAAAGGATACTGCCAAATCCCCATTCCCTCCCCACTCCTGGGGCCAGCCAGAGGTGGTATTTGCCGGTTCTCTGAACTACTCAAAATTTCTGCTACCAGTTCTCCAGAACCTGTCCGAACCTTCTGGATTTCACCCCTTCCCCTTATCCTTCTTTTCATAAACTAGACATATACTCAATTCCCTTTTTTAACAACATGATGACCAAAACTGGATGCAATATTTCAGGCGTGGTCTTACCAGGGCAGTATAAAGTAATATTACACTTCACGTGATCTTGATTCTATCCCTCTGTTAATGCAGCCTAGGACTGTGCTTCCTTTTTTGGCAGCTGCAGCACACTTGTCCACTAGGATTCCAAGATCCCTCTCACAGTTTTTGCTCCCTATATGCAGGTAAAAACTCTGAAAATGTAAGACTACAACCTATCCTGCTGTTTCTGCTCCAAGGTCTGTCATTTTTAAAAAAAATCGATCTTATGACTTAACACAATGGCTTAGTTACACCCAAACACAATTATTATGCTATCACAATGCGCTGAACAACAAATCTTGTTTCAGTCTACCCTATTAGACAAGGTAGGCAATTATGGCCTCTTTGTGACCTGTGGACTTCAAGTCTTGGAATTTTTGAGCCAGCATGGAATTTTGGGAGTTGAAGTCCATAGGTCATAAAGGGGTCATAATTGCCTACCTCTGCTATTGCCTATCCTACATATGTTGTAGAGACCATAATATTTTTTCCCATGTAACTACTCCTGTACCATCTGTTGCAATTCCTAGACAACTTCTCCAGATGATTAAAGGCCCTCGTGAATAATGAGGGATGGAATTTTTGTGGCTCTCAGTGGGAATACCAACTATTCCAGGGGTGGGTTCTACTTACCTTTACTACCAGTTTGCAGCGGGGCCGTGCGCTCTTCTGCGCATGCGCAGAAGCGTTTTGGTGACATTGGGGTCGGTGGGTGGAGCCTCCCACCGGTTTTACTACTGGTTCTATAGAACCGGTGCGAACCGGGGACAACCCACCACTGAACTATTCCTTCTTTAAGCTTCAATAAACCTTTTAGGATCCAAACTGATTGAGTGAAAATTTTGCATTCTCCAGCAGCCTCTGTGCTTTAGTCCATATTCAAGCCTCCTGTTTCTTCACAAAGGTTTCTGGAAAACAACAAGGAGAGTAAAAATGCAGTCACTCCTCTTTAAATTTGTCCATTGCAAGATCCAAGCCCTTATAAATAGAATAAATTTCACTTCTATTGAAAGATTCCTAATCTTAAAATAGCCCATAAATATGCAGAGCATTTATAAAGCAACTTTTAAAAAAACCAAATAAAGCAGGAGAATGAAATAATATTTAATACATTATGAAGGGAGCAAATACATATCATTAAAATATGTAGCAATAAAACAATTGCCAATCCTTCCTGAAAAATCATTAAAATATTTTCCAGAAAATTTTATCCAGAAGTGCAGATAATTCTATATTGGGACGATGCAGTTGCCTTCATCTAGTTCCTATGAAATAAGAAGTACCAGGTTTGGAGTATTTCACCATTGGAAATCACCACCAAGATGGATTGATGGATCTTAACCTGTGTGCCATCTGCCGAACATCTGAAGACAATGGTAACGCTCACAATAAATGAGCAGATTCCTCAAACAGCTATCAGTGCCCAGCAATTCACAAAACTATCAATAGCATAATACAGTCTTGCAGTTAACGCTGGACAGCTGCAATACATATTTTTCATTACAGCATATTCATGATGTAGTGTTAGAGCAGAGCTAGGTGTAAAATTACATTACATGGTTTAAAAGAGGTTTGGCACCTATCAAGAAGGCCACTGAGAAGGCAAATAGAAAACACTCAATAGAGGTCATTCTGTTAAGACCTAAAAAAAAATCTGTTGAAGACCTCAGAATGTAAAGTGTTAGGTGAAAATTCCCAGAGAAGTCCTGAGAATCCCATTAGGATGTTGTAGCTGTATCTCCAGTGTTGATTATATTAAGAATGGGTACAAAAAATATTTAAGAAGCTCAATGGAAAGCAAATGACTGCATTGATTTCTTCTTGAATATAATAAACATTGGAGTGTGAGAATGTGTACGATAGATAAGATGTGTGTATGTGTGAAGGGGTGTGTGATAAGATATAAAGCATGTAAGTTAGTATAGGAAAAAGCATACTGAGTGTTATATACCCTGGGATATCTCTGTCCAGTTGTGTTTACTTTAGCCACATCTGCTTTGGACTACAGTCCTAGATGTAGCTAGCACACCTATTTATTTATCTCAGAATAGGTTCATTACCCTCAATCCTGCTCTAGGTTTCTGTAAGACTTTGATTTTTGGCTTTCCATACCATATTAAACAGATGGCTACTACAAACAATCTGTACTGTATTGTACTGTGTCTAAAAGAAATTAAGCTAAATAAATGTCTCTAGATTTAAGTATCAAGATCAAAGGTTGCTATTGTCCATGGTGGTGCTCAAAATGTGATACACTTTAAGGCAGGGGTGTCCAACCTTGACAACTTTAAAACTTGTGGACTTCAACTCCCAGAATTCCCCAGACAGCCATGGGGAATTCTGGGACTTGAAATCCACAAATCTTAAAGGTTGGACGCCGCTGGATTAAGGTATACAATCATTCAAGTCTTCTGAAAGTCATTTCTATTAGAAACAAGAAATTTTCAGATAATTATTTTACATTATTGAGCTGGATTAATATCTGCAAAACATCTACGATTTGGGTTTAAGATTTATTTCACCTGCAACATTAATTTTCATGGGAACTTTCAATTTAAGCTCTTTTTGAATTGCAATATCTAATTAAATTTTAATTGTAAATCATGTCCAGACATTAGTTGTTTCCTGGCTCAAATTCTTTAGCACATATGGTGCTAGTATAAACTTGTGCCAGCCTGCCTACTCTGTGTAATTTTGCATGCAAATAGTTTTGTGTCTCTTATTGAGGTGCTAGAACATGTTTGGTACACTTGAAAATATTTGCATTGCAAAAGAAGAGTCAAATCTCTTGAGGAAAACCAATTTTACCATTTTTTTTTAATTAGGCGACGACACTGGGCACAGTGTTAAGAACTGTTCTATGAAAAATTAAGTTGAAGGTGAAGCTGACATTTTAAATCGAGCTACACAGAAGGAAGACACGCCAATGTTTTGGCAAGTTTCACAGCTACTATGAAATGAGTCCTGAGATTAGTCACCACTGCTTTTTTCATTAAATGCCATTCCCCATTTTGTCAGGGTAAGTTCTTAGAAAATGGAATAGAGAATACAGAATATATGGTTTTGGATATACCTATGAGTACCATAAATGTACTTTACTTTTATTCTGGTTTAACTCTCATAGTTATTATAAATGGTTGGTAGAAATTATGACTAGGTGACAGTTCTAGGATGTTTGTTTAAATTTTCTACAAATGTGTACAGACTTGCACACTGCTCAGGGATCAGGGAAAGGAAAATAATTGTTAAGCCATTTGATGTCCATAGTTGATAGACATAATTGATGTCCATAGAGAGGCCTGCTTCAAATGTTTCAAATACAGGAGTCCTCGATTTACAACAGTTCATTTAGTGACTGTTCAAAGTTACAACGGCACTGGAAAAAGTGATTTATGACCATTTTTCACAGTTACAATCTTAGTAGCATCCCCGTGATCATGTGATCAAAATTCAGATGCTTGGCAACTGGTTCATACTTATGACCATCGCTGGCATCGTCTTTTGCAATCTTTTGACAAGCAAATCAATGGGGAAACCAGATTCACTTAACAACCGGGTTACTAACTTATCGCTGCAGTGAATCACTTAACAACTGTGGCAAGAAATGTCATAAAATGGGGCAAAACTCACTTATCAAATGTCTCACTTAGTAACAGAAATGTTGGGCTCAATTGTGGTCATTAGTCGAGGACTACCTGTACTTGAGGCAGGGAATATTGATTGGAAAAAGAGAAGAACATGTCGGCACCACAATCTTAGTCCCTCTGCATTCTCAAAATATTTAGCACAACAGCAGAAAGTTCAAGAAGACACAGTCCATAGTTTCAAGCTGTCTTCATCCTTGACTTGAAATTGGCAAGCTAGTGAACCACTTAATATCAAAGCACATATCTGACTCAGATCAATATTTCTGCCGTCCTAGTGCCAAGAAAAATAATTTTTCCATTTTTTTTTTCTTTTGTATATATATTTAACTTAGAGGGAGTTTTCTTAAAATATATACCTAATCTATACCATAAATCTTCATAGATCTGTGTAGCTTGTGGAACTGGCATATTGAACTTTTCCTTGTATATCATTTGAACACCAATTGTTAATTTTTCTTTGCATAATTTATATCCCGTCGGCCATGTTTTGTCTCCTGGATTCTATAAAAAGTGTCTTATCATTGTGTATTCTCCTTCCTTGTAAAATTACAATATATTTAGCTATAAATTAATCAATATGCAAATAACCTGCCCGGAATATGTCAAGTTGCTCTCTAAAATGTTTCAGAGGAAAGCCTGCTGTCAAATTGTATTGACTCGAGGTAAGTCATGTGGGCCAGAATAATCTGATATAATCTTTCAAAAAATATTTCCTTAATATAATATAATGAATGCTTTTGTTTCTTAGAACTGAGATGTTTCTTTGGATCATAGTTGATAGGTACAAAACAAACATTAAAATGAGCTGCTGCTTTATAAGAATTTCCGCAACAACCAAAATTGGCATCAATTTTTTTAACCATGCAAATTCTTCACAAACAGGCTTTGCCGGAATTTAAGGAATAAGTATGCTAGGCCCAATTTGTACATGGACGTGTACTTCCATGTGGTGATCACACACCAGATGAGACATATAGCGCATTCAGTTCTGATTTTATACTGGCTAAACCACAGGTGTCAAACTCGATCGTGTCATGTGATGTATTGTGACGTATTGCAATATTTTTTTGCCTTTGCAGAGCTGGGATGGACATGGCCTACGCATGACGCATCTGGCCTGTGAGCCGCCAGTTTGACAGGCTTGAATTAGACTTAATTCTAGTTTAGGCTTCATATTTATCTCTTTTGTCCCTTTGACAAAATAAAGGAGTACAGTGGCTCTAGTGGTTAGAACCCTGAGTAGGAGATTAGCAAGTCTGCGTTCGAGACCTGAGAGCTGCCATGGGGCAGGGTTGAGTTCTTGTCCTTCACTCCAGCTCCTGCTGGGGACATGAAAGGAGTCCCCGACTGGATGTCTCCAGGGCAACAGTGGTGTTGCTTTCAACCCGGAAGCACCTCAGAGCCTCTGACATGAGTGTAAAAACAATAAATAGAAACAAGTATTGTGTCAACCCTGGAGCCATCTTTGAGCGTCTTCAGGGTTGCCACAGCAAGGCTGGATGAAGCTGTGGGAAAGGGAGTGGGAGTAGAGATACCTGGGGGAATATGTAG